AAATACTCAGAAAAACAAACCAAAAAATAAATTACTCAGAAAAACAGAAAAAATTACTCAGAAAAACAGGAAAATAATTACTCAGAAAAACAGGGGGAAAAATTGTCAGAAAAACAGGAAAATAATTACTTGTCAGAAAACAGAATAAATTATTCAAAAAAACAAACCAAAAAATAAAGTTTTTTTTTTTTCAAGTGAATGCAATACGCTTCCGTAGGTAAGCCTATTTACTAATGAATAAACGGTTGGCAGGAAAATAAACATAAACAAAGAAATATACAGAAATATAACATATATCCAGCATGAAATAATTTGAGTTTACACTCCAGTACAGTAGATGGCAGTAATGCACTTACGACCTGGTATCACACACACACGCTGTTGTACACGAAGCAGAAGAAGCAGAGAGGAGAGCAGGACCTAGCGTTTGTTTGTAATCTCACAGTTTATTAGTTTCTCATTGATGGGATAGTTAATGCTTCATGTCAGACCTGTGTACGAGGTAAGATATTTGCCCTTTAGCTCCGTATAGCACTTAACTACAGCTCAGGTTATGTAGAATAACGCATCTGAAGTGTCTCTGGACTGTCGCCATGGCTGTCTGATGCTGTCTAAAGCTGCATTGTTTATTGTTTACCGCGGTTTTATCCGGCTAACATTACGGTGCTAATGCACTGGGTAAATGACTGTTAAAGCTGAGCTAGTTACATGTCTGCTGCTTAAACTAAAGACCTTCAACACATTGTTTACCGTGCTGAACTTTCACTGTCTTAATAAAATAATAACTCACGGCAGCTTCGTAATGTAACAATAGCTACATGGTTGTATTTCCACTAAAGTGCTAACAGACTTGGATAATTCCTCGTTTTTTGTTTAAATTGAGGGATTGTGAATCTCTCAATTTTCTTCGAGTTAAATATCTATTCTAGGCAGAGTTACTGAAACACGATTCACTACATATTATATGCAAATAAAGTGAAAAAGGTAAAAGAAAAGCGAAACTCCCCCCAACCATGCTGAGCTACCGAGGAAATATGACACTGAACCTTAGACAATACACAGGATTAGGATTAGTAGTGGGACATTGTTTCTTTAAGTAAAAAAGAAATTCTTCACGTTTCTTTTTCAAAGCATAACAGATTTTTTTTCCAGATGTAAGATATTTAACTTATTCCCTGGCACAGAATTGGGTTGCATGGTCTCTTCACTAAAATCTGACATTTATCATCATTCAAATAGCTGAGCGGAAGATGTGATGATCTTTTATTTCACATCTTATTATGTTTATGAACCCAGGGATGGATGGATGGATGGATCTGACTTTAGACGCACTGCATGGTAACGGTGACCATGACGACTACAATGTCACCTCCTGGGTGTCAGTGTGTCCCAGAGGCCTCTGGAAAGTCCAGCAAGAGCGAACAGGCATGGAGAGTCAACAGACTGTTTCCACTTCTGGAGATGATGCACGTATGACGATTTTCTTCCTCAATATACTGTAAATGATCCACGCTTTTACAATAGAAATGTATTAGTGTCCAGCAATCCAGCTCACTTCACGTGTATTTGTCTGCTCTCTTCTAGCGTGTGCATCCAGTTCCCGTCCAGGGATGGGTTCACTGTGTCGAGTCCGAGTGCGACTCAAAGCTGACGGGGATGAAGCAGAGAGTTTAGTGTCTGAAAATGGAATTGAGAAGCTGTCGGTCGCTGAGTTTACAGACTCAGTGGCGCAGGCTTTTCCAAGGTGTCAGGACTCTGTGCTGCAGGTCCCACTGGGCGACTGGACGACGCTGAGGCTAGGGGAGGGTCAGTGCGATATCACAGAAGCGTGTGTGGAGGGGATGAGAGCGGGAGAGAAATGTGAGGTAAGAGTGAAGAGAGGACTGGGAAATAATCCAGTGTTATCATATGTTTTTATTTTTTTATTTCTATGCAAATTTTAAGTGAAACTTGTTCGACATGTGTAGAGTTCATGATATTTTCAGTATCCTGACATATAGCTTTGGAGCACTGGTGCTTTATTTCTGAATAGTGCTTGGAGTATTATGATCTATAAAGTTGGATGGACTCAAAGACCTTTTAATGACATGGTCATAACAAATATTTTAGTAAAGTGTGACACAAAGGGTACTTTGTGATTGGATATGTCACCTGAATATCTATCTTTTTCTACTTGTACTCAACATTTTCAGTAAGTGATTTTGTTTTGATACCAGCAAAACTGTTAAAGGTTTTGTATATAAGCCATAATTGTTGAATATCGATTAGTTACACATATTTTCTTTCAGTCTACATTTTTTTTTTTCAATCATGTGAAAGTATACAGACTAATTATTTTGTTTTGCTCCTCAGATTCTGATTTCTCCGATTGGAAATGGACCAGATGTCTCCGTTTCCCATCCTACTGAGGAAAACCTGCCTTTGTGTGCCACAGTTGAACTCAAAGCTTTCACACCAGGCAAGGAATCTTGGCAGGTGTCTCCTGCTGAGAAGTGGGAGTGGGTGAAGTCACACAAAGAGAGGGGTGGAGTGAGATTCAGGAGTGGGGATGTGTGGGGAGCAGCAGACAGCTACAGTCGAGCTCTCAAACTTCTCATCACTCTCTACGGTCACGTTAGAGAGGTGAAGAAACAGGGACAGGAGCGAGCGGAGGAGCAGAGAGACACAAACACTGGTGATGAAACACAGCACCTTCCTTCAGCTAATGAATTCAAAACCACCAAAGCTGAACTCCACTCAAACCTGTCCTTGTGCCAGCTCAAACTGAACCAGCCAGAGCGGGCTAAGGCCAGCGCGGCGAAAGCTACTCAGCTGGAACCGGGTGGAACTAAAGCCTGGTACCGACTGGGTCAAGCCTGCCAGATGGTGAATGAGCTGGAAGAGGCCAGGCAAGCATTTAGGAAACTGCTGGAGATACAGCCAGAATCGCCTGCTGCTTTGAAGGCTCTCAAGAATATAGCAAGTAGAGAGAAAGAGACAAATGCACAGTTGGGACTTAGACTCAGCAAAATGTTTAGCTGAAGATGAAATATTATCAACTTATTATTAGATGTTATCTGTAAAACGGTATGTTTCTTCTTGTGTTTCATCATTAAATGGAAGTGCATCTACAGCCACTGACTCAGCTCAAAAGTAAAGTAATGCCTGTGTGTGACATTCCTGAATGTAACTTGAAAGGAAAAATGAGAGAAACTTATTTTGGAGAAGTTAACATACTCATCCAGGAGTAATGTGTGAAATAAACCCAAAATAAAAATGTAGTTTTTTCAGTCAACCACAAGGTGTCGTGCTTTGTCAGTCAATCCAATGCGGTCGGTGGTACATCTATACTGGTGCACAACCGTATCGGGTAGTCAAAATGCCGAAACCCGGGATC